TATCCCAAGTGGCGACTCTAAAAATCAATAAATAATCTCATTTCGAATAATGTCACTTTAAATGGAAAAACTCCCTTATACATTATCCTTCGGGGTAGGTGTGTAAAAAAGGGAGGTGTGACAAGGTCATTTGATTTAGTTAGAATATTGGTGCATTTTACAAATTTTGAATATTAGGTGTTGGTACGTGGTTTCAACTGATTACAATTTGTTTTGCTTGATATTGGAATTAATCTGTGTTCAGATGTTAGTTCTATAGTTGCTTTGGTGATAATTAGTTAGACTCTATTAACCTAGTCATTGGGATATAGCTGAATATTGTAGCCTCTTAACTAACCGTGGTCAATTGTTAACTAGGGTAAAAGGAGGCTGAGGGTATAGTTTAATACTAAGCTTAGTAATTTCAGGGGGTGATCAGGGGTACTTTTGGCACCTAAAATGGCTCAGTTTGTTAAGGCTAAGTAAAATCAGAATAGAAGAAAGGATAATACAGGTATTCCACAAGTAGAAGAACACCCTAGGGCCTTCTAGAATAGGACTTTAGTGAAGATTTCAGCAAACTTAGGGCAGTAACTTGAGAAACAAGCTAAAAATTGAAGTCCTAGTGGGTGAAATCTGAAACTAAAAAAGGAAAATGCGAGTGCTATCTAGAACATTCTACCCCATTTCTTGCCTATAAAAGGCAACCCCAATGCCTTCACTCACAAGTTTGGAACCTCCAAATTTCCCCCCCAAAAAAAATCTCTCTAAGTTTCAGATCTCAATTTGAAATCTAAACCTTCGAAAAATCCAAAAACAATAGAAATCCATTAGAAAAGCAAAAAAAAGCAGCACTGTTTCATCGAGTTTCCTAGATCATTTCAAGTTCTAGTAGCTGATTCATCTCTATTAGCTCCTTTTCTAGTAATTCAGAGACTTCACAGTAGTTTCTGCTTGATTTCGAGTAATTTTTGGGAGCCAATTAAGCCGAATTTGATCATCTATGGAGCATGTTAACTGCTGAGTCTATTCCTGGCTTTTGAAAAGTTGTTTTTGGTTCAAATCTATTCCTGTTATGGTTGGTTGTGATTGTTGTGTTTCAAATCTGCCCGCTGATCTCCTTTTTCTTCATTCATTTGGTTTAATGCCAGGTACATATTCGACTCTTATTTTGATGAAGCTGTGGAAAGGAATTTTGAAATGTGATACATGATTGTTTGTCTCCTGGAGGATGTGTATTTGTCTTGCTGTGTATATTTGGCTCAAGTGTGTTTAATTCTCTAAAATTTGTCAATGTGTATAATTGGGGACTGTTCGAACTACTGCAATTGTTTGAATCACCGCCTTCTTCATTTTTTTTTCGTGCGAACTTCCTTTGACAAACAACAGGCTGTCAAACTAATTAGAGAAGTCTGTTATGTTCGAAATTAATAAGTTTACTTTGCTTTAGTTCAGCCATGGCTACTGATGAGATATAGCTTAGGTTTGTATGATTTTACATTGAACATTGATTCAGTAAGAAATAATTAGTTTAATAGGTGTCAACCTGGGTTGATAATTGTTGTTACTTAAATCTAGTCACGCTTTCTATTTGATTTCCTGTATAATAATAGTTAAAAACTTATTAATAGGTAAGCAATAAGGAAATTTAAGTCGTGCCTGAATTTAGAATAATCCATGCTTCATTAGTGTAAGTGATGTGATGCTGTTTATTTTTTTTTCCTCTTCATAAATCATTGAATGCTTGGTAAATAATGTGGAATATCTCTGAGGTGTTCAACTGAATCCAAACTTGGTAGGAGGTAATAACGGAATGCTCAACAGTCTATTTTCAGGTTGTTTGGGCTCTCGTGCCTTTCCCAGGCAGTCTAGACTTAATACCTGCAACAGTACCTGGGCTCACGCTGAAGCCCAAAGGGTGCTGAGCATTCAAACCCTGGGCCGGGTCTTTAAGGCCCCAAAATCTTCCTTGAATCAGAAAAACCCTTAAAAATGGTATTGAGCATATATAAGGAATTAATTCATGAATATAAAAATTGGATTTCGAATTAGGTAGCGGGTTCAAGCTAAAAGGGTCTTCCCTTTTGTTTGAATTTGAACCCGAATTCGAGGCCCCAATTTATAATTGTAAGTTAATTGGCCTTTTAGAGACAAATAATAAATAGAAAAATTGTAGTTGCTTTTAGGTTGGCCTTAAAATAAATGAGACGAGCCTCGCCAAATCAAAACATATAAATTGCGGGGCCCTCATTAAACGATTATATAAAAAATATTTAGAAACTCGGGACATGCCATTTAGCGAATTTTCATGGCTTCCCGCAAAGTTAATAAGACGCTAGCCACTTTAGGCGCGCTTTTT